GTGAGCTGTGATTATGCCACTGCTGTCCATCCTGGGAGACAGAGAGAGAGCCTGTTAAAAAACAAACAAACAAAACCCCCCGACGAAATAGATAAAATTATAGGGAAAGGAAACAAATCAGTGAGTTTCAAGAGGTGTGGGGGAGGGGTTGACTACCAAGGGCACAAGGGAATTTGAGGAGTGGTGGAACTGTTCCATATCTTGATTGAGGGTGGTTTGCATTTATCAAAACTCATAGATATATGAGGATATATCTATGACTGTAGGATATAAAGAGTAAAGTTCACTGTATGTAAGTTATATCTCAATTTTTTTTTTTTTTTTTTTTTTTTTGATACAGAGTCTTGTTCTGTCGTCCAGGCTGGAGTGCAGTGGCACGATCTCGGCTTACTGCAATCTTCGCTGCCCAGGTTCAAGCAATTCTCCTGTCTCAGCCTCCGGAGTAGCTAGGACTACAGGCGCATGCCACCACGCCCACCTAATTTTCATATGTTAGTAGAGACGGGGTTTCACCATGTTGGTCAGACTGGTCTCAAACTCCTGATCCCAGGTGATCCACCTGCCTTGGCCTCCCAAAGTGCTGGGATTACAGGCGTGAGACACCGCGCCTGGCCATATCTCAGTTTTCTTTAAGTTTTAAGATTAAAAACTAAAAAGGAGGCAAAACTAATCTATGGATGTCGGCAGAGGGGACAGCTTTAGGAAGGAGGAAAAGTGCCTTCTGGGATTCTGGGACTGTTCTGTTTCTTGAACTGGACAATGGTCACACAGCTGTGTTTGCTTTGTAATATTCACTAAGCTTCAGTCTTACAAGTTTTGCATTTTCTGTATGTTCTTCAATTTTATTTTTATTATTATTATTTTTTGAGACACAGTGTCGCTCTGTCACCCAGGCTGGAGTGCAGTGGTGCAATCTTGGCTCATTGCAACCTCCCCATCCCGGGTTCAAGAGAGTCTCATGCCTCAGCCTCCTGAGTAGCTGGGATTACAGATGCGGGCCACCATGCCCGGCTTGTTTATTTATTTATTTGATTTATATATTTTTGAGACAGATTCTTGCTCTGTTGCCCATGCTGGAATGCAATGGTGGGATCCCAGCTCACTGTAACCTCCACCTCCTGTCTTCAAGTGATTCTCCTGCCTCAGCCTCCTGAGCAGCTGGGATTATAGACATGAGCCACCATGCCTAGCCTTTTTTTTTTTTTTTTTTTTTTTTTTTTTTTGTGGAGACCGGATTTCACCATGTTGGCCAGGCTGGTCATGAACTCCTGACCTGAAATGATCCTCCCACCTCAGCCTCCCAAAGTGTTGGAATTATAGGCATTAGCCACCACGCCCCGTCAATATGTTCTTGAATTTTAAAAAGAAAAAATATATATCCAGGATCTGTGATATCTGTTTAGGGTAATGGAGAGGCATATTAATCATGTAATCACAGCAGTTAATACATAATTACAAACTGATAAAATGCTGGAAGGAAAGCAAGGAGATGTGTGAGGTTGCAGGTAGCAGAGTCAACCTTAGCCCGGAAGCTTGCCTGAGCACTGGAAGCTTAAGAGAGATGTGAGGGCCAGGTGCTGTGGCTCGTGCCTGCAATCCCAGCACCTTGGGAGGCCCAGGTGGATGGATCATGAGCTCAGGAGTTCAAGACCAGCCTGGCCAACATGGTGAAACCCCATTTCCACTAAAAATACAAAAATTAGCCAGGCGTGGTGGCAGGTGCCTGTAATTTCAGCTACTCGGGAGGCTGAGGCAGATAATTGCCTGAATCTGGGAGGTGGAGGTTGGAGTGAGCCAAGATCGCACCACTGCACACTCCAGCCTGGGTGACAGAGTGAGACTCTGTCTCAAAAAAAAAAAAAAAAAAAACGGGGGAGAGAGAGAAAGATGTGAGGGAAGGGTGTAGTTAATGTGAGAGTGTGGTCCTTCCCCTGACTGCAAAGCCTGAGAGACTGGAGCACGGAGAAGAAGAGGAGGACAGTCTGCCTCAGTTTCCCCATATGTTAGGTGGTCTGCAGGTCCACTACACTCAGGGTCTCTCTTTTCTCTGCACCAGATAAACCTTCTCAGTCACACTCTTGAAAAAATTGCGGGACATGGAGGATCAGAGACTCAGGCAGGTCTCACACACCCTTATTGTCCTCTCAAATGCCAGTTTTCCCAGACAAGTGTGTGCAGCGTCCAGCCTTCTGCTAAGGTAGGAGGGGGGCTGGTGTGTGTCTAAATATCTCTGGGCCTCAGAGTCCACATCTGTCCTTCCATGATAAGAGATGTTTGCAGCTGAGTCTCTACGATGGTTCAAAACGTGGGAAGTGGTGTCTAAGGGGGTTATTTTGGCACGTTTTATTATAGGTATTATTATTTTATTAGATATATATTTATAATATAGATAGTATTACAGATTTATAAGATCTTTACCTTTTATTATAGATATATATATTTTTATTAGAAATTTTGGGCCCAGGATGACATCCAGTCAGAACTATTTTAACTTTGAGACAACAAGGAGCATTCCTTTACAGAAGCAAGGAAAGGAAGCAAGTGTAGTTTCCAAGCAGAGAGGAACTTTTAACTAGTAAGTTGCCAAATGGTAAATAAATTCTCAGCTGGGTGTGGTGCTCACACCTGTAATCCCAGCACTTTGGGAGTCCGAGGCTGCTGGATCACAAGGTCAGGAGTTCGAGACCAGCCTGACCAACATGGTGAAACCCCGTCTCTACTAAAAATAGAAAAATTAGCTGGGCGTGGTGGCTTGCTCCTGTAATCCCAGCTACTCAGGAGGCTGAGGCAAGAGAATTGCTTGAATCTGGGAAGCAGAGGTTGTAGTGAGCTGAAATCGGGCCACTGCACTCCAGCCTGGGTGACAGAGCAAGACTCTGTCTCGAAATAAATAAGTAAATAAATAAATAAATAAATTCTCTTTCCACACTGAGAAGGGCACCAAGGAGCAAATTTTTTAATATTCCTTTATAGATAAGATGCATACACATAAGCATAGTAAGACATCTGCGAGAATATTTCTAGCAGCATTACTTGTAAAAGCCTCAAACTGGAAACACTCCAGATGGCCATCAACAATACAGTGGATAAATACTTGGTAGTATGTCCATACCAATTCATATAAATAAATCATGGTACATTAAAACAGCAATGCAAGTGAACTACTGTTCACATACACAACATCATGAATGAATTTTTAGGTACTGCATTAAAAAACAATGCACACAGTCACACTCAGCGCACGCAGTCACACTCAGCGCACACAGTCACAGCGCACACACTCACAGCGCACACAGTCACACTCAGTGCACACAGTCACACTCAGCACACGCACTCACACTCAGTGCACACAGTCACACTCAGTGCATGCACTCACACTCAGTGCATGCAGTCACACTCAGTGCACACAGTCACAGTCACTCTATTCCTCCCATCTGCTTTTCATGTGAAGCAGGTGGTTGTGTCAGGGACTTTTCTGGGGTCGCCTGTAGCAAAGATGCTGACATTGGAGGTTCTGACAATGATGCTGCAGTGACCTAAAGCTGATAATTTCCTACGTATGACACCACAGTTATCATTTTACGTCTGTGGAGACCCACTTAGATTAGTAGATTGAAGAGGTGTTCTTAGGGAATAAGTCAGGCCTCTGTTGTAAATGAGGAAATGAGAGCACCTAAAACATAAGAACCTTTCTCCAAGACATACGGCTGGTTAATGACAGAGCCAAGACTCTCACTCCAGGTGTCCTGATAACCTAGTCAAACATTCATTCCCTCTCCCGTTCCCCTCAGCCCATTTCTGCACATATCCATTTCCAAGGAAGCTCCGTGAACTCTGGTAACCTGTTTCCATGTGATACTAGCCTGCTCTTGATGAAAAGCAAATATTAACCATGTTTGATATCGATGATGTTAGGTGATGCTTAAAATAACTTAATTTGTTTGTTCATGCTCCCTTGCTGCCTAGGAACGCACTCACATGAGTGTCCCAATTTTTTTGGAAGCCTTCCCAATGTCCTCAAATACCTTGTCAGCAATTCTATCAGTCCATTTTTATCCAGTCCAGAAAAAGTTCTTCCAAAACTTTTCATGATGGAATGTTTTAAATATTTACTAAAATTGATCCTTATGTAACCATCACGCAGCTCAGCAATGATCAATTCATGGCCAGTCTTGTTCCACTGCCCACTTCCCCCTCCCGTGTTAGTTGAAGGAAGATGCCAGATATCTTATCATTTCACTTATATATGTTTTGGCATGTATCTCTGAAACGTAAGAACACTTCAAAATAATCACAAAACCGTTATTTCACTTAAAATTTTACAAATTAAAGTAGTAATTTCTAAATACCGTCAAATGTCCCTTTAGTGTTTACATTTCCACATATCTATTAATTTATATTAATTATAATTTTATCTTAAATCTTAATTTTATAATTTTTTTGTGGTCTGCTTGAATCAGGAGTCAAATAATCTTCCCATGGCTTCATATATCTTTGAGGTCTCTTTTATTTTACAGATTCTGCCTCAATTTCCTTGCAGTTTATCTGCGGAAGAAACTAGGTTGTCTGTCCGCCAGGGTTTCCCAGTCTGGATTTTGCTGATTGCATCTCTGTTTTTGTTTTTTTTTTTCTTTGAGACAGAGTCTTGCTCTGTCACCCAGACTGGAGTGCAGTAGTGCGATCTCAGCTCACTGCAACCTCCGTCTCCCAGGTTCAAGTGATTCCCTTGCCTCAGCCTCCCAAGTAGCTGGGATTACAGGCGCACTCCACCATGCCCGACTAATTTTTTTGGTATTTCTTTAGTAGAGATGTGGTTTCACCATGTTGTTCAGGCTGGTCTGGAACTCCTGGCCTCAAGTTATCTGCACGCTTCGGCCTCCCAAAGTGCTGGGATTACAGGCATAAGCCACCGCGTTCGGCCAATCTCTGATGTTCTTTAGCAAGTTCCACTCCCTTCTGTCTTTCCTGTAAACTAGTTTTATTGTCCTTTGTTTTTATAGTCTCTCCCTCACTGGACTGACTTCCAGGAGGACAGAAATGGTGTCTTATTTATTTTTACCTACCTAGAGCCTAGCACTGTAAATTTCCAATAAATTGATAAAGAAATGAATATAAAGTCATGTGGCTGTTGTTTTTTTCTTTGTGTGGGAACAGAGAAAACTCTATAATCAGGCTGCCTGGAACTAGATCTTGACTCCACCCTTTATTCTCTGGAGACCTTGGGCAAGTCATTTAATCTCTCTTGGCAATGGTTTTCTTATTTCTAAAATGAAAGTAATAATACACAGGAAGTGATGTAGGGCTTGAATGAACAAATACATGTGAAATACTTAGCATCGTGCCTGGCATACAGTAAGTGCTCAATAATTGAATAAATAAATAAATATGGCTACTATTATGGAAGTCCTACTGGCTTTTCTGTATTAGTCAGGATAGGCTAAGTCAAGCTGAAGAAATAAATCAATCACTAAATCTCAAGACTGTGAAACCAGGGATTTTTTGCTTCCTCATGTTATATGTCCAGGGTGGTCGGTGAATGTTCCGTTCCACAGAAACCAGAAGGCTTCCATCTTGTGGCTCCTCCATCTTAATATGTGGCCTCTGCAGTTACCAAGGAAAGGGAAAAGAGTGGAGGTCGCTTAAGAAGTGATTCTTAAATGCTTTTGCTTGGAAGTGTCACGTGTTACTTGCACTCAATTTTTATTAGCTGGAGTTTGTCACACAAAACCACGCAACTGCAAGTGTGCTGGGAAAGACAGAGTACCCATGTGTTCAGGAAAGGGAAGATAATTGGATAGGAATGAACCCTTGTGGGCACTACCACACATCCTGTGTGGCCTGTATTTAAGTGTTAGGATGGTTGCAATCATCAGTGGGTTTTGTATATTTCTAAGCAAGTGATTTCAATTCTTAGTTGAAATTTAGAGCCGCTACCTGATAGAACAGTCTGTTTTCCTCCATTCAATAAAGTGATCCTTTTTCATATAAATCAGATCATGTTCTCTTGTGTTTCAGTCCTCTTCTGCTTTATAATGTATTTAGGATAAAATCTATATCTTAAACTTTCTTCTTAATCTTTTCCCTAATCTGATTGCCCGCTGTTTTTCTCCCTCACTCACTGTGATCAGCCATGCTATTCTCTGAGCTGACCCTTAAACATATCAAGCAAGGGCTGGTCGAAGGCCTATATCTGCATTGCCCTCCCCCAGATATTCCCATAACAAGTGTCCACATTTAATTCAGGCTTTTGCTAAAATACTAGCTCATCAGGAAGATCTCTCTTCTGTAAAGTGCTGGTAAGTGTTTAACAACTGGCTGTCTGGGATAAAAAGCTCTGACTTACAGTATTTGCCAATTTCCATGGTGTAAATACATCCACCGTGGCCAATTTCAAACGACAATGTGATATCACTGAACACAGAGGTGGGAAGAGATTGGAGCAGCACACCATTGTATAATATTTCTAATACACAGGTATCATAGATGCAAATAACTTAAAGGGCATAGATAATGGTAATAGGCAATAATTTCAATAGAAGATGCTGAGTTTAAGTATTTATTGTTTGTCTTTAATATAATATGTAGACTTTCCAGTTTATATAATTTAATTTTCATAATGGTGTTATTAGATTGTTCTAGCACTGCTGTAAAGAAATACCTGAAATCGGGTAATTTATGATGAAAAGTGGTTTAATTAGCTCACGTCCCACAGGCGCTAAAGGAAGCATGATGCTGGCATCTGCTTGGCTTCTGGGGAGGCCTTAGAAAACTTACAATGGTGGAAGGTAAAGAGGAAGCCGGCACTTCACAAGGGCTGAGCAGGAGGAAGAGAGAGAGCAGGGAAGTGCCACAGATGTTTGAACAACCAGATCTCCTGAGAACACACTCACTGTTGTGAGGACAGTACCAAGGGGGAAAGCCACCCCCATCACCCATGATCCAATTACCTCCCACCAGGCCTCACCTCCAACATTGGGGATTACAATTTGACATGAGATTTGGGAGGAAACAGAGATCCAAACCATATTAATGTCTGTGTTTAACATCTGGCTCTCACAATTCCTAAAAATGGAAGAGTGTGCTCTCATGAGCCAGGATGAGCTGTCGCCAGTATACCATTGACCCATGTTCACGGCACCTAAAATGGATCATCACCACCCTCTTCTCCTGCTTTGTTTTTCTTCAAAGTGTTTATCACTCCCTGCCATGATGTTATAAAACTGATTTTTAAAATATTGTCTGTCTTTTCTGCTGTTTCTTCCTAACTCAGCTTCCTGCACCTAGAACAGTGGTTGGTTTGTAAGAGACGTTCAATAAGTATTTGTTGAAGAATGAATCACTTGGCTCCTTTTGTGCATAAAGAAAAACTAAACATAGAAAATAATAATAATATAAGACACAGATATGAAACCTACACAAACCTCTTCTCTAAAGCAAGTGAACCTTTTTGAATTTAACAAAGAAAAGTGTCTCATCGCCATTATCTCAGTGTTCAAATTTCAAGGTTGATGAGAGAATGAGTAAATAATGTGCCAATAGACTTTATCAGTGTACACATTACTGGTCATAAACCCAAAGCATACCAACAGCAAACCTTTTTCTTTTTTGCAGACCATCTGGAGTTTAATGAGCTTTGTCAGTGAAAATTTAAAATATCTATTGTTTATGCCTGTTTTCATTAAATGCATGAAATTGTCTAATTTTTCTCTCATTACTCATTTAAATAATTCTTTGCACTTAAACTACCACTAGGCTTTCTTATCATTAAAAGTTTAACACCAGGGCTGGTCTGTGATCCCTGACTCCAGCTTCCTCTTCTCTTCTTCCTGCTGGCAATGCTGGGTTGTTCAGCACCCCTCACCACACCCTGTCCCTAGATCTCAGGGCAAGAGTCATTCATTCTCATTAGGGTGTTGGTGTTCAGTTAATCATCATTGTGTTCCTTTGCCTGGGGCATTTGGGTGGTTAACCAGGCATGAAGTAGAGAAGCACGGTCATTGAATTGCTGTGTGCTTTAGTGTCTGCCTTGGTCAGAGAGATGCCCTAACCACATCCTCAGAATGTGTGAGGACAAAGCCACCTAAGAGATTTGTGTTTTAAAACTTCAGCACCCTCTAAAGTGCTAGTATACTCATTCCATCTTGGGACAGGGCCTGACACTTAAAAAGCATCTCTACAAAGAGTAAAACTGAAGAGATTTCACAGGAAGAGAAAGTTGAATTTTTGTTTTGCTTTGTTTCCTGCACACCACATAATTCCTGATGTTTCTGAAACATCACTGTTTTGGAAACTGAATATTTAGCCTGTTTGGGCACCCACTCGGTAAGCTGTTGCGCTCCAGATGAAGCTGCCTGATGCATTGTGTTGTTCTTTTTCATTAAAAATTACCTTGATCTACCACTTTCTCACCTCTGTTGTTCTAATTGTGCCTGCATTCATATGGAATTTAGTCTGTATTTCCTGGAATGAATAATATTACATAGAAGACCTAGGTGTACTCCTAAAAGAAATACTGGCCTCAAATAAACTTATGTGTCAAAGATAACCCACAAGTCATAACTTACAATGGATCATACAGCCTTACATTCTTAAAGGACCATTGTGTTTGATATGGTTTGAGTCTGTGTCCCTGCCCAAATCTCTTGTCATATTGTAATACCCAATGTTGGAGTTGAAGCGTGGTGGGAGGTGATTGGATCATGGGGGTGATCTTCCCTTTGGAGCTATTCGCATGATAATGAGTGAGTTATCATGAGATCTGATTGTTTAAAAGTGTATAGCAAGGCCAGGCAACAAGAGTGAAACTCTGTCTCAAAAAAAAAAAAGGTGTGTAGCTCCTCTCTTCTCTCCCTTCTTCCTGCTGTGGTCACGTGAAGACACGCCACCTTCCTCTTCACCTTCTCTTCACCTTCGACCGTGGCTATAAGTTTCCTGTCCCCAGCCATGCTTCCTGTAGAGCCTGTGGAACTGTGAGCCAATTAAACTTCTTTTATTTTTTAATAAATTAATTACTCAATCTCAGGTATTTCCTTACAGCAGTGTGATAATGTGCAAATACCGTGTTTAAGTCAAGAAAAAAGTATTTTAAACCTGTAAACTTTCCCATGCTAACTGCTATTCAACTTGTCTCTAATCCCATTTTCTTTCAATGATTTAAGCACTCAATATGTCTGTGTGTGTGTGTATGTGTGTGTGTGTGTCTGTGTGTCTGTGTGTGTCTGTGTGTCAGTGTGTATGGTATGATGGCTTCAGATGACTCAGGCATCCTTCCTGTAAGAGGACTGTACATCCACCCTTTGTCTTTTGTAAGGGACAATCAGGGTTCTTATCCCCCTCTTAATGTTAAGAAAACCAAATGTTTTCAACAAACTTCAGATATGATGTACCTAAGATAATTATAAAGTTTTTACCATTATAATTTTCATATTTTGCTTTACAAAATGTCCTCTGACTAGCACAAAGATAAAGACTTCTGCAGAAAGCACAAAATTCTTGAATACTGGTCATTATCACATTGTAAAAAGTAGTGTCATCATTTGACTTGATAAGATCTTATGAAAACGTAGTTTGAAAAATACAATTTGCTATAGACAGGCTCATTTTAAAATTGAAGTTTTAGGTAATTATATAGTTGGGCATCTAGTTAATTAAAGGTTTTTAATGAGTTTAATCATTCCTGTATGTCAAATATCCCATTCCATATCTTTGTGTCTTAATGCTCACTTAATCTTTTTATGTATGTGTTTTAGTCCATTCAGGCAGCTAAAACAAAATATCATAAACTGGAGTAGCTTATAAACAACAAAAATTTACTTCTCACAGTTCTGGGAAGTCCAAAATTAAAGTGCCAGCTGATTCACTGTTTGCTGAGGGCCACTTTCAGCCAAGAGTTCAAAGAGGACTCTCTTTGACCTCTTTTATAAAGGCACTAATTCCATCCATGTGGGCTCTACCCCATGACCCAATCACCTCCCAAAGGCCCCACTTCTAATATCATCATCTTGGTGGTTAGGATT